GCTCTGGGTCGCTTCGGGGCCCTGGAGCTTTCTGCTTTGTGATCCAGGTGGTTCTTAGATCCTTTGTCTCCGCCTCATGGACGGGGAGCCCTCGGGAAAGGAATGAATCCCTCGACCCTCCGCCTGAGGCGGCAAACTCGTCGAGCCGGCTAAGGACGTTTACATTGTCCTTCTCCAGCTGACGTAATCTATCGCCAAATTTTTCTTCTATCACCTCTGCCAGCTGACGGGCCAAGGGGGCTGATCCTCCTGACCTGATCCCCATACTGGTTTGGGGGTTACCCCCCTTGACCGAGTAGAGACACTTTTAATCGTACTGGTGCGATCCCTCCCTCCGTGATGGCAGGGAGCTTGCAACTCATGACTCCTTTGGTGGGGTCCTTTCCCTTTTTGTCTGGTGTTCACCATGGCCACTATTCTTTATAGAGAAAAGATTAGGAAAACTACTCGTTTCCCACAGACGGCGCCAGATTGTGCGTGCAAGATCCTGCACAATATAAAAAATATTGGGAACAGATCTCTCCCTGGTGAACTCTGAGTGGGCCGGTGGAGCGGCCAAACACGCTGCTTGAAACGGCCTGCAAGGTACGGTGGCAACCTGGAACGGCAAAAGAAGATCCCGGAAAAGGAAGAACAATCCTGTACGTGTGAAAGGTTTTCCTGGAACAAAGAAGAACAGGTTAGAAGGGTGCCGGAGTGTTTTTCGGCGTATCCCCTCCGACGGTCTAGTCAGTCTTTGAATGAGAGAGAGGAAGAAGAAAACACTGAGAAAGTCTGTATTGTAGTGGAGAGTTTGTGATTGCATACCCGCTTTGCCTTTTGGGAGGAGTATTTATACCTTAGAAGCTCATGATTGCTGTCAGTGTGGTCAGTAGGTGATCATCAGGCACAGGTAGCGTGTGTATTGATTTGATGAGGAATGTCTTCTCGAATTGACAGCTCGGGGTCCCGAGCAGTAAATGCTGAGTCGTCGGGACGCCGACGGTACAATATGCTCCTTTCGGGAAGGATGCAATAAATGCTCTGTAATAGGAGCTTTTATTGCCTTTCATATCCGAACCTTACCGCATTGAATGCGGTCTCGTCAACAGAATGGTGCAATTAATTGTTTGCTTTCCCAAGTCGCGTGTCAGCAACGACATGCGGTTTGTCTGCTTCTGATGTGACATTATTTGCCACGCGTCCATCCCCTATTGGCTGTGACGTCGGTATTCCAGCATGTTCTGACATTACTTGTGTAAGACGAGGTCATGATGAATAGTCTAGACTGGCATAGGCTGATGTCCCGTACGTCAGTAGCTTTATCTTGGAGTAGAGGAAGCGTCCAGGATGGAGTGACCCTCGGCACCGAGGGAAGGCTCGCCTCGGGGACCGAGGGTGGTATGTTCCCGAGCTACACAGCGACCGAGGACACGTGTTGTAAAATGCACCCGAATGTGTGATCCTTTAAGGGGTACCTCGGGGGAGAGGGACGCTCTTCGCCGATGGTGCTTACATCCGGGCAACACTGTTTCCAAAAACCCGAGGACACGTGTCTTCATCTTAGGGCTTTTCAGAAGAGTCCCATCAGTATGATTAAAAATTAAAATTGTCAATAAGTCATGTCTTTGTCATACTTCTAGATAGTGCAAGTCATTTCGTGCTAGTATTAATGTAATTAATACTTGATTCATCTATCACCGTGTATAATATATTTTATATTATGCCAACTTATGCAGTGTATAAACGTGTTTAGTTATATCTGTGTCATATTTAGTAGAGTGCTTCCTGATTCATTTACTTAACGAATTTGATAATTCCATATACTTGTCACTCAAACTCTTCAAGATTAAACGCAAAACTTCAGTAACTTCATGTTGGTTTCGGATTGAATTCATGAATTATATCAAAATTGTGCACGATAATTTTCACACAATAGATGAAATGAAAACAAATATCTTCTTTGGTGAACTCATGTTCGTTGAGAAGGTGGTGGATCCTACAATGAGGAACTAGTTGAGAGGGCCAAATGGGACTTAAGGAGTAGTGATGAATTGCTCCAAGAGCTGCTCGATCGATTCAAGCGGGTTACGGGCGCTTCTTGTCACACAGAAAAAGGGTTAGAAGAGGTGCTGGAGTGTTTTTCAACATATCCCCTCCGACGATCAAATCAATTCTTTGAGAAAGGAGAAGAAGAAGGCACTGTATAGTTCTTGAGAGATGATTTTGCATTTCTTTACTTCACATTTTTTGGAACTATTTATACCTCTAAAGGCTCACCATTAATGATGACCTAGTCAATAGGTAGTACCCAAACATAGGGTTGGGTGCCTCCTATTTTGCATGGAGGAGACCCCATTATTGATTATTCGGGCTCCCAAACAGTTAATGCTCTTTCTTTGATATAAACACCTTAAATGCTAGGAGTCCAAGACATTTAATATTCCATATTCTCGGCTTCTCAAGCTTACTGTAGATGTCACATCACTGAAGATTCATTAAATGTTTGTCAGGGATAGCCGTAAATCAGCAGGGGTATTTCTGTCTGTTTACCCTTCATCCTGCACTTTATGCCACGCATCTGACCCTCTCTAGTTGAATGTCCAATTCATTCTGTCATTCTGACTTTATTATGCAGAGCACCTTTATGATTTTTAATCTAGTTTAGACTGTTCAGCTGTCAATTAGTAGCCTCTTCAAAACCCGAGGACATGTGGCCAGATCAGAGCTTCAGCAAGCACCCTTGGGGCCGATGACACAAATCTGTCATAGGGAGGAGGAGTACCTCGGCATCGAGCATAAGCACTTGCAAAAGGACAACACATGCCCTCGGAGCGGAAGACACGTGTTTCTATCAAGGGCAAAAGACTTGTCATCGGTGTCGAGGACACATGTCCTTGTTAGAACAAAAGTGTATCTTCGGTGTCGAGGACATGTGTTGCCATCTACTCCTTTTCCACCAGTGTCCCATCAAAAACTTATAAAATTAGATACAACTAAATCTTTGATGCCTCGTGTCTTTGATCATTGCATGGAATAAAGCCATTCCAAGTGATGTTGAGAACACAAACTCAATTATGACCGACCATTTGCTCATGCTACTGGACTGCTTTCTGCCACTTATGTTAAGGATTCCTTTTTCTTTCCCTGACCACAATAAAAAAAAAAAAGTTTCATGAACTATTGATTTTTTAATAATTTTGTGGGCATAGCCTGAAGTAGCAGTAGGGAATCCGACATGGCCTCTCCTCTCATAGTTCCTTCAACCCTATGAAATCAAATGCACGGAAACAGTGCGACTGTTAGACATTCTAGAATTTATTCTTTGGCTACATGAATGTTGGAAGCATAGAGAATGAGAAAGAAAAGTTGAATGCCCAAACTTTTTTTAACAATTGGGGATCGCATGTACTTTTTAATTCATGTTACAATGTAAACCTCAAAAATATGAGAAATCATCCATTAATTTGAGATAGAGAGTTTTATGCAACAAGTAGTAGGTCTCTAACTTGTGACGTACACGGTCCTTCTTCTCCTACTGAACCAACCTATGCTGGACAACTAGAATACCAACTATAGCCTCTGGCTACTATAAGGTCTGACTTCAAATTTTTATTTTTTTTTTCGCTCAGTTTGTTGCAATCAAGTAAAATATAAAGCTAGCTACGACAACCTTGATGTTTAGAAAGATAAAGAACTGCCTTTGCAATTCTGACTAGGATTCTTAAAAAGACATGATGGTAGTGGAATAGTCTTGATTGAGAAGGTTGCCTTTGCCTTTATTTCAGAAGGAAAACACTTAAACTTTTTGAGGCGAAATTATATTTTTTTTGAGGTAGTAATTACAATTTTTAAAAATAAAATTATTACTATGAAGTTACCTCAAATAATTGTAATTTTACTTTTAAAAAGTGTAATTTGACCTTAAAAAATAATAATTTTCAATACGATTTTTAAAAAAAAAATTGGCACTGTAGAATTACCCTTAGCTCATTCAGCTCAGATAGAGATCCGCTGTCCCTTTACTGATTCTACTTTTATGCTAAAGTAAAGGGTCCAACTAAATCTTTCGGAAACCACACCTTTATTTTGTTGGGCTAATGAGGATGTGATTGATGCCTGTAAAGTTTTCTTAATTCCTTAGTAGACTTTCATATATTTATGATAAATTGCTAGACATGAATCAACCGAAAATTCATACACACAAATCAACTTTAACTATGATATCGATTTTTTTTTTTTTGGCACTAGCATAATCTTCTCATAAATATACAGATAAGTTGGTGAACAGCTACCATCTTTTAAGAAAAAAGTCCTCCAGAGTTTGGCCCATCTAGAGTTGGTGAAGTTTTTCCCATCTGGGCCGCTCCCCAGTATGCACTACAAGTCTACAATCTCTGACTTCTGTCTGCCTTGAGGCCTGAATCGATCGATACGGCCCCCATGGCCCAAATTCCACCAACTCAAAGGGGCTGGAAACTCCATAGGATCGAGGTGGTGTAGGTTCGACCTGAGCCTACCTTGAGGCACAGGTCTAACACACCACAAAGTTTGCATGGAGCCACACGGCTATTTGTTGGTTGCCCGTCCTTGTCACGCAGGCTGTGTTCGTCTGAAATTCACACTCGAACAGCCAGAATCTCCCCATATGTAAGGCCATCGGATTCTGCAGTTGGTCCTTGCATAAAGAGTTTCATATCTTCTTTCGAAAATGATGCAACCTGATGTTAATTTGAGAACCCAGAATAATTCCAAATATTACAGTGAAAAAAAGACAACACAACCTGCAGCTTTGCTTGAAGATAAGTAGAACCATAATTTGACAATCCTATAGGATGGACTTATGGCTGCATCCCCACTCTATTCCCATGAAGCCAAGTAAACTACGGCTAGATAAGCAAAACGGTAAGGAATACAGATCCAAACAACTAGCATATACACCATGGACATAAAAAAAAAGCAGACAAGTTCGTCGGAAGAGAATGCTCAGCACTGATATGTTTAACTCCAGCATATAACTAATATGAAGTAAAAGCTCAAGTAGAATGATAAATCAAGCATTACATTTGATGATATGGACCGTATGGTGTAAATACCAAAGTGAGATGGATACTAAACAATGGGTGGTAAAACAAAAAATATGACTTCAAAATATACAAGAGTTCCAATCAAAGACAGTTGACCTTTCTATTTCCTCCCACTAGACTCTGACGTTCTTTTTTGTTATTGGAAAAATCCAACACTAATAACAACTTCAACCACCACACTGCAAGGACTTCACAACATTTCCACTCACCCTCCAACTTTTTGGATTTTCTTCTTGGTATTCACATTCATCAATTGCATACATGTACTATATTTACATCCGACAGCAGTTGAATTATCTGTGTTACTCTATACTCGCCTCCTGGACATTTTAAGTAAGAGATTTCATGAGCTTCCTCCCAGAACTCTTCTCAGTTCAGATTTCTGTTCTGCAGTAAGCCTTGATGGGTAGTTAACATCAAACTTGACCTTGAGATTCCCCTTCTTTCTAGGTTCCTTTGAAATAGGCATTCCTTCGTTAGGGACAACTACCTCATTGCCTGGTTTGACAATCTCTGTCAATGGTATCATGAGATTCCGTCCATCCAGCGTTGTCAGCTCGAGTGTCATTCCTGCAAGGGCATCCAGGAGAGAGATCTCCTGATTCACCACTAGATCATTACCATCCCTCGTATAAACAGCATGAGGTTTCTCATCTACAACAAATATAAGATCTGCCGGTATAACCCCAGGCTCTTGGTTTCCCTTTTCAGGGAAAGTGATCTTTGTGCCCTTCTTCCAACCAGGCTTTATCTCAATGGTCAGAATCTCTTCCACCGTTCGAGGCTTACTGCAAGAGAGGGACAAAGACATAGTAAAAAAAAAAAAAAAACCAAAACATTACTTATTATTCAATATACATTGACAGAAAGCCAGAGGTCAATTTGAAAAGGATGGAACCAATGAAAACTTATGATAAATAAGGACAAATGCAAACTGATGCCATATTATGCCAGCGTTTTCCAATGGCACACAGCATTCTAGTTTTTCTACAAAACAAGCATTCTCCATTACACAAATATCTAACCCCAGATCTAAAGATGATCAAGATATTCTTTGGGTTTTTCATTTAAACAAACAATCAACTGAACGTTTTTCTGTAGTGCTTTATTTCAGTGAATATATAAATTATTGTATGACAAATTAACACATTTGAATGTCCAAAACAACAATAACATCCAATTTTTCTCTCTCCTCCAACACATCCACCATCTCCCCCCACCCCAGGAAAAAGTCCCAATTTTATCTAGTAAAGCTAATACTGATTCTAATATCATTTCTCACCTGCATGAGCAAAACATGTGCAATCTCTTCTAGTTAGCACCACTGATATGCAACTCTTAAGAGCAATACAAACCTTTGTTGGAAACCTTTCGCACATGGTGGCACTCAGAAGCTTGTAGAAATTGTGATTCTCTTCAAACAGATCCTTGAGTTGATTACAACAGAGCCTCAAAATCTTCTATCTAAAAGTTACAGCACCACCATCTCTATGTAGGTTTAACATACAAATATTTGGAGACTCCTCGGGCATTAAAAATCCATAAAGCAATTCCTTCTCTTCTAACACATAAAAGGATAGACTAAATGTCCCACTCAAGTCAAGTGCTTAAAAAGAGCTGCTACCTAATGTTGATCTCATTAATGCCACAAGGTATAAGGATTAAACTAGATACAAATCGGACCCCTGGTAGTTGGTACACTCCCTTTCTTTTCTTTCCCTTGGACATGTAGGGTTGTTTACCGAACCGAGCCGCTCAAGCTCAGCTCATTTTTGGCTCACTTAAGCTCGCTCATATTATAAAATGAGCCTAATTTGAACAAATTTTTAGGCTAATTTTGTATTTGAGCCAAGCTGAGCCCGAACTATTCGCGAGCCGTCTTGTTTTATGTCAGACTCATCATGTAGGTAGCTCCTCTCTCTCGCTCTCTCTCCCTACCTCCTTTCAAGAATAAAACCCTTAAGCTGCTAATCTTTTTTCTCTATTTCAATTTATCCCTCCTTCACCATTCAAAGATAAATAAAAGTCTAATCCTCCTTCACAATGTCACACTCTCTATCTCTCTCTCTCTCTCTCCCTCTAGGTCATCATCCATCTCCTTTCCTTCTTCCATGGTTTTGGTATCCTTGAACTCTAAATCATCTCGGTCCCTCTCTCCCTTTGCTCACCACCACGGCTTTCTCTAATCCAAATCCTAGAAAAATCATCATCTATGATTTATAGGTCTCTGCTACCAGCTACCAATGCATACACACACATGTATACGTTAAGTTTGTATATTTTTGTTACGATTTAGATTTGTGTGTTTTTGTGAAATTTTTCGATTAAGTATTAAAAATTTGTGGCTTTAATTTCTTTTTTGAATGGCTGGAATTCGGTTTGACCCGAGCTTGAACAATAATTTGAGCTCAATAGCCGAGCCCGAGCTGAACTTGAGCAATCCTTGAATAGCATGAGCTGAGCTAAGCTTAGCCTAGCCTAGCCGAGCTCGGAAGGCTCAGCTCGATTAATACCCCTATCAGGACATGTGGGCCAAACTTCAGAAAGGCCCTACGAGGGTCCTTCACTTGTGTGAGCTCCCCACTTGTTCATTCTACTTATCAATAATCGATAAGCTTCGGTAGAACACACCATCAGCTGGTTCAAAAACCATTATTTACATAAGGTAGTAATCTAACTGAAGACAAGTTTTCACTCTTAGCAGCAGCATGAACTATTAACATTGCGGCAGAACAAGATCTGTAGCCAAGTCAATTGATTGACTATAAGAAACTCTTATGAGAGAGCAGAACCCATCTTAAAATAGAACACTCATAGCACCAAAAAAGTAAAAACAAATAAAAAATTACTAAAAAACTCCAAAAAACTTTTACAATGAATCTGCTCCAACCAAGATAAGATGAGCAGTGACATCACACAGTTATAGCAATTTCAATGAAATGCTCAAACTTCATCAACTCTCAAGATCACAAATGTATTTAATGAACTAAATCTATGTCAACCTAAAGGATCAAAGAAAAAGTTTACAAAGTTCACTATACTGTTGAGAAACTTCTCCACTGGCTATCTCATCGGCGGCTTAAAGCCAAAATATCTCTGTCACCACCAAAATGTTTCTTATCAACTTCGAGCCACTCGATGCAAATGACAATTTTACACACAACCCAAAAAATGCAATCCTTTTCGCTTCTTATGCACCCACAAAATCACTGTAATTCAAACTACTCAATCCAATCAGAATATTCGCATCAAATCAGACGAATGCAGTAAAAATGACACAATAATCACACCACAATTCAAACTTCAAAGCAACCATCCGCAATTAAACCGAAGCAAAGTCAATCTTGCAAAACCAAGAAGCCCTAATGTTAAAAAAAACAGTCTAAAAACTTCCACGAATTCCCCAATAGCATATATCAAACTCTACTACAAAATTGAATAAACAAGATACGATTAACAATTACATTTTTGCGACATACATACCCGGAAGGATCGACAATGGACCTGGAAATCTTCATCTTCTTCTTTGTTCCCTTGTACAACTCCTCCAAGCTACACGGCAACAAATTCTCCACCGCCTCCGCCTTCCTTGCCGTAGAAGAGGAATTCCCAAAATGCCCAGTTGTACTCCTGAAAAACCCGTCCCTAACCCCCCCTCTACCACCCCTCCCTCCACTATTCCCCTCCGATCCATCGAACATCTCCGCATATATATCCTCAGCGTTCCGAAACGAAGGGTTCAAATGCGAAGTCCGATTGGGAGTGTAGGTCCCACCGCGAGGTTGCTGCGGTGGGAATTGGCCGGACTTTAGGGCTTCCTCGCCGTAGAGATCGTAGATCTGACGCTTCTGAGGGTCACTGAGCACGTCGTAAGCCTCGGAAATCTGCTTGAATTTGGCCTCGGCCTCTCTCTTGCCGCTTGGGTTTTTGTCCGGGTGCCATATCATTGCTAGCCTCCGGTAAGCTTTCTTCAGATCTTCTTCGCTCGCGTTTCGGTTCACTTTCAATATGTTGTAGTAATCGACTCCCATTTTCTCTCTCCAAAACAATATAGAACCAGTGTGTGTATATGTGTGTGTGCGTATCGCCGGAGACGAAGACGAAAATGATATTGAAAGGTTCAAAAGTTGGGTCTTGGTGGTGGGGAGAGAGGTCTCGATCGGACGGTTATGAGAATCTTTCTCTCTCTAGAATCGTTTTGCTGCTCTCTCTTTCTCTCTCTATCTCAAAATAAGTGTTTGTAGGATTAATTACACTTTCTACCCTAAAAGACCTTTCAAATTTGAAATTATAGCATACAGGATTAAAAACCAAACGTTAGCGGCTTTCTCATTCCTATCGGGTAATAATTTTTGGATTCCATGTTTTGAGCCGATGAGTTAAGAAGACTATTTATTTGGTCGACTCTACCAAATTAAGGGTAGTGTTTCGAGCCGAATTCGGTCCAAAAAATCTAATCCGAAGATCGGGTAAGATTATGAAATGTCTAACAAATTTTTAAACTTTAGGTTATGAATTTTTAAGTCATTTTAACAACTCAATTACTAAATTTTTGGGTTACTTTTATGATTAGACTATTAAAATATAATATAAAGATATGTAAAACAACAAAATAATCTAATAAAACTAAAACACAATAAATTTGATTAATAGGGTTGCCGAATAGTCTAGAACACCAAAAATAAAACACAATCATAAGTCATATGTTTCATAAATGATGTTTTATAACAAATAAAACGACTTCGTTTTATAACACCCATATTATTTTTAAAAAAAAAATAAATATATATGCGGGTTATGTAGGAATGTTAAAATTTTATGATTATTTTACATTCTTACCCAATATCTGTAAAATATTAAAAAATCTTTCATTAGTCGGCCAAAAAAATGCGGAATTCGAATTATTAGGTAGATTAGAGTCGGAATACTGCATAACGGGTCGGATGGGAAGAATTTTAAACTCTCCTACCAAAACTGACTACATTATTATTTTTGGTAATTAACTGAATAAACATGAACATTTTTATTTTTATGATGTAAATTTTAAAATCTTACAAAGTGCCATTTATTACTTTTTAAATTTTTTGTTAAGACGTGTTGAAGAGTGGGGCATTTGCGTGTGAGACGTGGGGGCAGAGTGGTAGAGGATCTCGTGGGGCCTACAAGGATTCAAATTTCAACGTGGGTGGGTCCGATTCTGAGGATTGGGTAGTGTGGGTAATGGGAATGGGGGAAAAATAAGGTCGGTGTCGGGTCAATTTGCAAGGTTATTTTGACTTGTTAAGATCAGCTGAGACAGACTTGACTTGACTTCATCATGTCATTCAGTCAGCCCAGACTCCTGGGCTATGACCCGAGCCCATTGGGAACAACCCAAGTCAACTAATCAGAACAGAAGCCCACCATGTGGGCCCAGAAAAAAAAATTTTAAATACGAATTTGATGGAATTACTGAACCAATTATTAAAGTGATCAACATTTTATGATGCAAAACTGTTAACTTGGTATCGATTTTCTTGTTTAATTGACTGATCATGTTAAAGATTATTAACTGTAGTTGGATTAAAGGTATTTAGTTAGATTCTCCCCAAGTTTATCTTTTGCTGTCTTTAAATTCTCTAACTTTTCTCCCATTCTTTTTTTTTTTCCCTTACAAATTGTTTAAATTTGTACCGACTACTCTCTTCTTGAGTTCGGATACTAATCACCATTAACTGAGTGGGTTTAGAACATGTCTCATATGATTCATTTGTTTATCTGGAGAATAATAGAATATGTGTTTGGTTAGCACGAAAAGGAAAATGATGGAAAAAATAATTTTCCTTTATACTTGAATTTTCTCAAAAATAACCAAATTTTTTTACTCGTAAAAAACACAAAAAAAATGCAAAAAAGTTGTGATCTATAACTAACTTCCTATTTTACCCTTATTTTTCTTAAAATATTTTATTGGTTATTAATTTTAAAAAATTTTGTTATGAATTTGATTACTCATAATTTGACCCAAAAACCTTTGTATTGGTGATTGTCTTAAAATTTAGTTTCGAGCCTTTTTTTAAAAAAAATTTAACTTTCAATTATAATTACATATATATATTTTTTTAGACCGATTTAATATATTTAACGATAATTTAGACAAGTATAAAAAATTTCTTATAACTTTTTTTTTTCAAACAATATAATGAAATTTTTTTAAAACTTTCCAATAAATTTTTCATTTTAACCAAATATATGTATGAAAATATATTTTCTATCATTTTCCTTTTTTTTCACTTCACTTTCTATCATTTTTTCTTCCTAATATCTTATCCCTAAGGGGTATGGGAAGGGAACCTCCCTTCTTTCTTGACTCTGAATGATTCGAACCCATTTGCATAATTTTCTTTCTAAATAAGCATTCATCTAAAGCAGATCAAGTGCAAGATAAAGTAATTCTGAAGGAGGAGGGTCTAGGAGAGCTGTCCATAATTTTCAATAATTATGATTACTATGGACCAGTGTAGAACTAAATCAACTGCAATTTTGAAAAATGCACACAATAATCAATCTAATTCCTGTCTGCACAAAGTTAAGAGTTTGGAAAAAGCACAAATACTGGATAATCATCAAACACAAATGACATGGAAATATACAACATTTACAAGCATGAAAACTTAATACTCTTCCCCGATCCTTCGCAACAGATCTCCATCCAATACGCGATATCCAATCAATATCTCATCCCGCCAAAAACCATTTCAACCGATGAAACCCAAGAATATTGATATCCCGCAGCTCATTCTCCAAACTCCCATTTTGAAGAATCCACTTGCCAAAATTTGCAGGAAAAGGATTTCTGGATGGTAAAAATCGCTTCATTTTGACTTCGAAAGCAAAGAAACAATTGTGGGCATTAAAGAGACAAGATCATGAACCCTTGAGCTCAAACAACAACAGTTTGACCAGTAAGGCCATCCTGAAGCTGCAAAGACCCATCCTTCATCAGGTTAAGGCTCAAGCTCTTAAACCTCTCTCTAGAATACTGTCGTGAAGCCTTTCTCCAATCAGTTCCAGTTTTCATCATTGCAACAAACTCCTCATAACTGATTTGCCCATCCTGGCAGAAGTTTGTACAACCATTACAGAAGCAGAAATTAACATGAGGAGGGAGGGAGGGAGGAGGGAAAAGTAGGGAGTTGAGGAGAGCAGTGAATATACTTTCAACAAAATTTCAAAAACTTAAGCACCACCATTTTATAGGTTGGGCATAATTTTCATAGAACTGGAGCATCTCAAAATTCCATTAACCACCGGTAACAAATTAATAACAATCTTTCAGATGGTCTAGATTGAGACACAGTGATCAGACACTAAATTTTTTTCCAAAAGATGCTAGTTTCTTTTAAAGACCGCCTGAACACTAAAAGGAGACTCAACCACTTACCCGAGGTGGGGGTTTCAGGGCGGAGAGTGAGTAGTTCTATATATGGTTAGTTTTTTCTCAAGGAAAAATGGAATCATAACCAGCCTATGCACCAATGGGTCTTTGGTCCAATAGTCCTCCTTACCTTTGCCTTCTTGTGGTGAAGGGTTCAAGCCCCCTTCCCCCTCTCCCTCCCCCTTCCCCTTCCCCTTCCCCTTCCCCTTCCCCTCCCAAAAAAAAAACCAGCCTATGTAGAATGGTTTGGCCACATTGTTGTTTTTTTTCTTTCTTTCTTTTTTGGGTGGAAGTTTTGGTTGCTACCGATTTTGTGAATAAGCACATATCCACCATGAAGGCGAGGAATTTTCTAGTTCTATTTTGGTCATCTACTGGACCTAAAACTGCAAATTTGTGCTTCAATTATTCAGTTTCAATTTTTGGACCAGATAGTGTCAAATTAATAAGAGAGATGACGAGAGAAAAACACAGGCCAGGAGAGAGAGAGAGAGAGAGAGAGCATGAATTCATGAGAAAAAGTTGGTGGAGGAAATAAAGACACCATTAGCCTAAAGCTTCACACATGAAACGGATGTGTTTTTCACTTTTTCTATTATCCTAATTCCTAATTGGCAGTGCAAGGCTACTATGATGTGCCATTCAAAAGTTTAAAGGAATATAGGGGCCCCGATTCTTTTAAAATTGGAAAGGAGATGAACACCCAAAATACCAACCAGTTTTGACTTTTGAGATGAGTGCTTAACAAACAGCAAATTATAGAATAAGTGATGGCGGCTTGGATGTCAAACCTTGTTTGTATCAACCTCTCGCATGATTTCACTGAGTACATCCATATCCGTTTCACCTGATTCATCTGCTAAGGCTTCTCGTAGCTCATCAATCTCAATGTATCCACTCCCATCTTTGTCAAAAAACATAAATGCTTGGCGGAAATGCTCATCATTCTCCATCTTTTGCAAATGGATTGTTACTGCTACGAACTCTCCATAGTCGAGGACTCCATTCCCATCAACATCGGCCTAATAATTGTGTGCACAGTGATACTCTGTTAGAATTAAAAATTAACACTGGAGTACAGAACTATCTTTAGTGAAACCTCCCAAATCTAGCTCAAGCTGTCATCAGCTATTTACTGTATTCAAAAATCATAATCAGCTATTTACTCTATTCATAATTCATAAAGTTATGTGTTTTTTTCCCTAAAAAAGAGAAAAGAAGAAGAAAGTATGCAAAGCTAGCACAAATTCCAGGAAATGCTAGAAGTTGATTTCCAAAAGATTATCTGCAAACCAAAATGGCAGCGCATAGGGAAATACTTTGAGAGTGGGACACAAGATAACCATAAACAGTCTACAAATGTGAATGCACCCTTTTCAACAGATTCAACGCCAGAACTACTTCAGTATCATTACTATGGTCTATGTATTGTGAAAATCTTAAGTTCAAATTATTTCCAACAAATAATGCTTTTCAAAAGATGAGTGGTCTTCGGGGGAAAATCATAATATTGTTTTTCACAAGAGGAGTGACCTTTAGGTTGCAATCATAGTTCCAAGCATGGACAAAAAGGCTGTTTGAAATGATGGTTTTCAAATGATGAATGGCTCAAAGTTATTCCCATGTTTGGACAGCAAAAGGCAATGATTTAAGTTATTTGGCCTAATGCTCCCACATTATACATTCAACGTAAATTGCATCCATATATGAAAAAATAGTACCAAATAAATAGAATTCAGCTGCATTTGGTGAATTGGAAAAGGAAACCACCAAAATTTTACCAATCAAATCCCCGTCATCTTTGGAATAATATGAAATAAATATAAAAAAATACTTCTGCTATTCTAAATGAATAATTGACTACCTAGAGTAGAGTTGACAGAATTCCGAGAAGTTTAGTTTCACAACAGTTCAGCCATGTGCAATTATACTCAACCAGAATATGGTCATAGCCAGTATAATATTATAGAAGGACTGCCAATAAAAACTAGTTGGAATGTTGCATTATGAGATTAGTTGAATAGAGGGGAGTTTAGGCTGGCCATAAGACCGTAAGACCAAAATAATTATTTTTCCATGCATCACATCTTGATAGTGCAAAAATTATGATCCCCATGACCCTACAAGCTCCTTCAATAGAAGGAGAGAAGAGGAGAAAGGTTATAGAACTTATGCTAATCTAATTGGACCCATAGAATCTGCTATTTGACCAAAAATATCCAGTCTCCTGACATAACAATCCATTTAACTTCCAAAAAAAAAAAGAGATAGCAATCCAGTAATCATTTAATCTAGAGAAATGTATCGAATTTATAATTCATTAAACGTCATATCAGGAGAAAATGTGATATTGTGAACTATATGTGTTCACAAGATTACCCATATAAAGGAAATTGTAACGCATCCATAGGAAGATAAGCAGAAAGACAGTTTATGCAACTAAAGCAACTACTATGTACATGAACGAAACAGGAGGAGAGCAACGTCAAAATTAGCAGGAACATTTAACAAGATATGCACAGTCCATAACATTATATCTCAATATGTAAACAGTGTCAAGCAACGTTGAAAAAGAAAAAGAAAGCTAGTTCCACGTTGAACTGTGTTTGCATAACATTTACCACATCCATCAGCAATTTTATCTCTGGTTCCGCCAATTGTGAACCAACTTTTCGAAGCCCAGCCTTCAGTTCCTCATATGTTACTTTCCCATCACTGTCACTGTCCATCAATGAAAACATATCTCTGATCACTTCTACCTCTTCCACTGATAAGTGTTCTGCAATTACCTACACCATTTGATTGAATAAACCCAAATTTTTATCCACATATATGTGTTGAACTTCATTGCAACGAGATATAAGAGAATGTAGCTGAAAGTCCATATGGACTGATGTGGCTCTATCACCTCACCTTTAATCTCCAGAAAAGGATAACCACTATCAATTCATTTAGCCTGAGATGGCCTTACGCATCAGTCAATATAAGCTTTTTGAACAAATCAGTCGATACGAACAAAAATCATTGCAATGACATACAAATTATGATGAATTCGATAGTAGATGCTTACCCTCAAGACTTTCTTTTTGAATCTATTCATTACAGAGAACTGCTTGAGCCTTGTCCTCACTATATCACCCAATGGTACATTTGAAGCTTTCTTTGCATTTTGTATCCAGGGGTGTTCTGCCAAAAAGAAGGGAAAAAAGCCAATGTGATTGCTGCCTCAAAACATATAGGTGATGTTGCTAGTGTTAAGAGCATGATATACATGGTGGCTCATTCTCTAACAGCTCAAGTGTTACTTAGGAGTAAGTGGTGGTCTAACAAGGTATCAGAAGTATAGATCTTTCAGATCTTGGGTTCAATTCTAACAGTCACCGCATGGTTCACCATTGTGTCGGTGCATATTTATGCCTCCCCCACATGTGAGCAGACACATAAAGGGAAAGTTAAGAGCTTGAAACACATTGGAGATCCATTCTCTAATAGCTTGAGTTTTTTTAGTAATGGGTAGTCCAATACCTAGAGACTTCAATCTCCTGCAATTAACAAATGTGTGCTATAGTTGCTTGCTTTAGACTGTCGCGATAGTTTTGCTCAGGGCCATTGCCAAAAGCAATCTCAAGTTCCTACGTCATTTCAAGTATAACTGCTAGAGTAGAATAACACCAAAGGTGCCACCTTTTTCGCCGGTCACTCAAAAAGAGAAGGTGCTGCTACATCAGCTTATTGACCAAGAGAAGTTCAGCATACTTGACATTGGAATACAAGGCCCAGTTTTCACACTTCCTTCATTGCTCCGAAAATGTCTTAACCTTCTCTATGCCAACCAAACTTTTCCCAAGCTCATCAGCAGTGGATGGATCTTTTTATCTTACATTTGCTCCAATGCATATAGAGGGCATTAGGTGACAATTTACGAAGTCCATAAGTTTTACAGAAACCAGAATAATTGGCAAATAAACATTTGAACTTTTTTGGGCATTTCCAATGAAAATATAATAGAGATGCAAGGCCAAAGAAGTATTATACAAGAAACAGAAAAAGAATAAGAAAGAAACTGACCCAAGCCAATTAACAAAATTTGGGGTTGACATGCCTGTTTATTCAACATAACACTAAACGAGTGCATTGGCACGTGCCAGAAACAAAGAAGGCATGGTTTGGCAATTGATGATTCGATTGTCCTAGAACCATATTAAGGAGATATTTGTGATTAATGTTTCTCTGATGAACTCAAAAACTTAACTGAAAGTCATAAATACCACTGAAAGGGAAGTCATCATGAATTCAGTTGTTCTGAATACAGCTGTAGTCATTAAATGTTCTCTCGCATGATTTTACTACGAAAATGTGACCTTTTTTCCTAGGCTGGGCCAAAATACGTATTTTCCTTGACATTAACCTTCATCTTTGTTTTTATTTTTTGGGGCTAGAGTTCTAAACACATCCAAAATAATATATTATTTGATTCACTAACTAAATCATTGGATCCTCATACCTTAAACAAAGCAAACTATGGGCACACTGGTGCATCATCTCCCTCAACATGTCACTAATATGAGTAAAGAAAGCAATGCTATCCATTAACAAAGAACGTCAGCTAACTACAAAACTGGGAATTTATGAGACTGAGAGTGTTTCATATGCAGTAAATTTCATACATACTTACCAAGAACCTGTTGGGCGGTCAATCGCTTTCTGGGGTCTGACTCCAACATTTGCCGAACAAGGTTCTTGGCACTATCAGAAATCTGAGGCCATGGCTCCCTCTTAAAATCAATCACCCCTCGCAAAATCGCCAGAGCAACACCCTGTTCAGTTTCTGCAACAAAAAACTTTAGAAAACAACTTACCAACAGAACCAACACACTCCAATACATTAAACATGATCAAAAATAAGAACAATACCTGCCCAGAATGGAGGAACCCCACATAACAAAATATATAGAATCACACCAGAACTCCATATATCAACCTCTGGCCCATAATTTCGCTTCAGAACCTCTGGTGCCATGTAGTACGGACTGCCCACAATCTCAGAGAACCTCTCCCCTGAAGATTTTAGGAGTGTAAGACAATAAAATCAACAAATCCATGAGATCAGATAACAATCTAAAAGCCCACATCAAAAATTAAACATACTCCCATCAGCAATCTCAAATCCGTATTAAAGAAAGATGACAATCAATGATCTGCCAAAGAAACAACCTGAAACCACTTAAAGCACCAAGACTATAACCAAAAACTTAAAAGAATTGGTAACTTAACCAAATAACGACATAAAAAGAGCAAAAAAGGTCGAGATTTTAACAAAATAACAGCCAAAAAGCCATTTAGGACCTCAGAAGCAATTCAATCGAACAAAGAATAAAACCAAAACCCGACGATCCAAAATTGGATATCCAATCATACAATTTGGTAAACACCCCCCCCCCCCCAAAAAAAAAATGAAAGAAACTTCAAAAAGGACCAAACAATAAAATCTACACTAAAAATACTCAAAAAAAAAAACTTCACAAAATTCAACAACCCATACGGAAAAGAACCAAAATGAAAAAACTTCAAAATTCAACACATACAAAAAAAATAAAAAACCCACCAAAAATATGGAAAGTCCTTTTCTTTTTTGGTCAGTCAAAAAGCCTCTTTAAGCACCCAAAAAAAAAACCACTTTAAAATCCGACAAAACTAACAAAATTGACCAACATACCCGGCTTGAAAAACACAGACAACCCAAAATCGATGGCCTTGAGCACTGAATTCTCCTTTTTATTCCCAAACAGAAAATTCTCAGGCTTCAGGTCCCTATGCATCACCCCATTCTGATGACACATCCTCACCACCTCCGCAATCGTCCTCGCCACAGTCGCCGCCGCTCTCTCACTGTAATGCCCTCTCGCCACAATCCTATCAAAAAGCTCCCCACCTTCACACAGCTCCATTACCAAATGCACAGCCTCATTATCCTCATACGTAGCTCTCAATCTCACTATATTTGGATGGTCAGGCAAGCTCGACATAATCGCAACCTCGCGTCGAACGTCCTCAATATCTATGGCGGTTCGGAGCTTTTTCTTAGAGATTGATTTGCAAGCCAAGGCTTCACGGCTTTCTCTGTCAGTACAGAGGTAGGTTATGCCGAACTCACCACGACCCAGTTCGCGACCCAGTATGTACTTGTCGCAAATATGAGTTTTGGGCACGAAATCTTTGAGGACTCTGATAGAAGCTGGTGATTCGGCGTAGGGGTTGGGCCTTCGTTCTCCGATTCTCTTCTTCTGCTTGTGATGGTTCTGGTGGTGGGTCTCCGTGCTCTCGGGTCTGATACATGTCGTACAGTTGCCCATGACTTGGTGGTTGACTCAGCCGTTACTGGTGGTGGAGGAGGAGAAGGTGGGCATGGCACGGAAGTGAGGTTAGGGGAGGGTGAGAAAACGCGGGGTCAGTTAGAGGAAAAAGTGGGTTTTTGAAAAAGTAACGTGGTATAAAAATATTATTATATTGGAGTTTTGGGTAGGAATTAAAAAAAATAAAAAAATAAATGTAATAATTAGTCAAAGGGGGATTATTAGGCAGAGAGGATAATGATGTTTTGTTGGGTAATTGGATACTTAAAGAAAGAGGTTTGAGAAAAGTATTTTGTCTTGGCTCAGTGAATTGACATAAATACCCCTGGGGTTTATATCTTTTTCTTTGTTTATTGGATAATTAATGAAGTGGTTTGGGTAAAAGTATTTGTCTTGGCTGAGTGAATTTACAAAAATGCCCCTGAGGCTTATTTATGTTTGGTTTGATCTAGGGTTGGGATAATCTCTCCAATATCAAAATAATTTGGAGGATTTTCAAAAGAGGAAAATGAGAGTTTTTTGAAAAAGTCAATTATCATAAAAATATAGTATATAAAAGGTGTTTATTTGATGGTTTATTGGATGATTAATGAAAAGATTAGAGTAAAGTCTTTGTTTGAGTTGAGCGAATTTACAAAAAAATGGTCTTACGCTCGTGCAATTTATATCTATTTGTAATTAGTCTCTAGCGGCCGCCCATACACCAAATTTATAATATTTCTCCACCACCACCGCCGCCGCCATCCCACCCCTACCTCACCCCATGGTACCATTATTAGGATATAATTTATAGATGTGTTGAATTGATGCTTTAAAAAAAAATCAAATATGAAATAGTTATCAAAAAAAAAAGTGAAAGTAATTACATAAATCACAGGGAAGATTTTTATTACAAGAGATCAAAATAATTCTATTAAATATTTCATAATTAAAAAAAAAAAAAACTTTTCAAGCACTGTTTCTCCTAAATCAATCCTTATAATATAGATCGAGGGAAAAGTAGAGGGAGAAAAACAGGTTCATGTGTGCTGTGGGGGTGCTGACAGAAGTGGAATTTCCTTCTTTCTTTCTTGCTCTCGAGGCTTGTGGCACAATGGAACCTCTTCAGCATACTACAATTTGTCTCCTGTGGTTGACCATTTGTAAGTGTTGCCAAGCCAATCAATACACCAACCAAAGACTTGAATGACTTGCCTAAACACTTGGTATATATATATTTTCTAGAAGTAGGAGGAAATTAAAGGGAATATATTAACAATTAAGTGGGTAGTGGGTAAATAATAAAATAAAGAAATTTGATGGTATCAACAAACTAATTGCTTGTTTGATTAGTTTATTAATTGGTAGTTACATCAACCTAATTGGGTCATCTATTGAAGAGTTGATGTGTTTGGGACACTACCTCGATGAAGTTGTTCACCGATTGCAACCTTTTGGTTGCCGTCATCAACTTTCTTTTTTTTTTTTTTTTTCAAAATCAAAATCGAATAGGTCTTTACCCAGAATAGAGCATAAACATAAAAAGACTAATAAGACTCGTTCAAAAATAAGAAAATGACATTGTGATTTGGATTAGATTAGATCCCGATGAAACAATACATCAATGAGAAAATTCGATACGTTTAGTGAATTCTTTTTTATTATTATTATAAAGAAAGAACCTCCCCTTTTTTTTAACCACATATCTTATTCATATATGCTCATAATTAAAATATTTATCTTTCGTGAACACCTTATCTCGATGTAAATGATCTATTTTTAACCGAATCAGAAAGATAATTTGTCGAGATGCACATAAGTTGACTCGAGCACCCCTAACTATTAAACAAAAAAAAAAAATACATGAGAGAGTTACAAGATGAAAATTAACACTAAAACAACTCATCAGTTGAGGTCAAGGGTTCAAGTTTCATTCTCCCTTCCCCCAAAAAAAAATTTTAAAAAAAAATTGGTAAAAAGTGTATGTCACCTTAAATGATCAATTCTTCCAAGTCATTAAATATTTTGTTTATTTGTTTTTTTCCCCAATTTTTTTTTTTTTTGCATAAATCATATGATGATCAAGAGTTCCAAACTTAATGTTGAAATAAAATATTTCCATCTATCGATACTTTTGCAAGAAATGGAAAAATTCTCATTAAATTTGATTTTTCCATTAAAAAAAAGTTTTTTCTTTCTCCTTCCTTTATTTGCACTTTGATCGAATACGCGTCTTAAGAGAATTATGTCATTTCATTTTTTTTCGATTGTCCATTCTCAAATTATTCTATTTTCCGGTTGTTGTGACAAAAGCATTTGGTGGGCCCTTTTTGTATTTATAATTTTGCATATATAGCCGTCTTTATTAGTTTAGTCTAAATTAAACTAAGGTTAAAACCAACGTCATATCTTTGTCTTTCTTGAAGGTCATTTTCTCTCTTTGGGAGTGAGCACAAGGCAGTGAAATAAAATTGGGCCTTGCTTGTTTACAATACCTTTCACCTACGAGATCATCATAGAAGAAAACCAAGAGTCTGCTTCACCAACAGCAAATATATGTATACAAAGTATTCTTCCTTCTTCTTTTTTCTCATGGAAGGCTAAGGAGCACCTAGTGGGCAATAATCCCTTAACGTCACTATTAGAGTCCTTCTTGTGAAATATTCGGTTTGGAGTATAATTACTGATTCAGAAGAATAGTCCGTCACCACAACACTACCAAAACTAATAGTACACGATGTTATTGTCGAATCGAACTCTGCTTAACTACATAGAAATTAAGAACGATTTTAAATAGATATGATTTATCAATAGATCAGCAACTCGGATGGTACAAACTACATAGTATTTCTCCTTTGTAATAAAGAAAGATGACTTATTTCTCTTTTTGAGAGTTGAGGAGTATTGAAGTAGGTTGGGGGGTATGCTGAAAAGCCAATTCATTAATTAAGAACTCTATCTACCATCAGTTAGCTACTTAAATTTAATAGCTTCACCCACCAAAATACACATTTAAAGTCAACAGAAAGAGAAATTTCGTTAGGATATAATTTAACCACATAATAATTGTAGTATATTAAATGTATTTTATTATTAATTAAATGGTTTATGTCTCAAAATTATATCCTTAAATTATGTCACAATAGCATTAGTGCAACAGAAATGACGATATGTGTATACTCTAAGCATGTAGAAATCTACGGTATTCCGGGGAAGGGGGGGGGGAATTGGTACTATACTGCCATCATAAATTTTGTGATTTTTTTTTTTTATAATTTTTTAGGATCATTTATAATTTTTGTGATAACTTGTGGTCGATCGCAAAAGTTGTTACTTATAACTGAAATTTTAAAAGTTGTAACGTGATCCAAAAAATTATAAAACAACCCTAAATATTACAGATTTCCCTTTATTTGTATGATAATTTATCGTTTTGTGAGAGTCTCCGTACTAAAAAAATGTTAGGAGGTGTTTCATGACAAATTTGAATATGAACCATGCAAGGCTCTTGACTAATGCCCGCTAATTTTGAGTTGAAATTATTAAAGAGAACAAAGAAAATCCGACAATACGAGACTCGATTCGAATTTGGATTTGCAATATACATAAAAGCTTAAATCCATAACCGGTGAGTCAAATTCATAATATACTAAAAGATCCTATCACTTTTATTTTCACTCGTGGAATCTTCCCACCCCTGATAATATTTGTTTTATATTTGATTATTGATGCTCCTAATTGTCCTTTAAAAAAACAAAGAACAAAGTTGAAGGGCAAAACATAGAGTTTTCTGTAAAGTGCAAGCTTTTCCTACCAAAAAACTAAATTTATAGATTGGACGTTCACATCCCCCACAACCATTCCATCCCACATGGCTTCAAAGGCAGCAAATTGACCTTTCTAAGGAAGAGTGTCTACACCAACGACTGGGGTGTTGCTATCGAACGAACTTTTTATTTTAAAGTTGAAAATTCGAATCTTAAAATTTTCAGTGATTGATCATTATGTTAGACTAGTTAAGTTCATTTTCAAGAAGAATAATTAACATGGTTAAAGGGGTTATGATCCCATCAATAACAGTCTATTAGGGTTGTCTTTAAACACTTTATTTTGCCTGTATCTCTTTTTTAAATAGCAAAAAAAAAAAAAAAGAAAGAAAAGTGCCTACACTACATGAAAGATAAAAAAGTAGACCTCCTTTTCCGAAAAAAGAGCATTTCGGGCCAAACTTTTTTTGGGTCCAATTGAACACCAATCACTTTATTAGTTGACAAAATAATATTGTATTCATATTTCGATACAAACCCAAAAGTGTTGGAATTTAACAACAATTTAAATTCACTAACAAACATACACAATCGAAGAACAAATCAAGAATATAAAGTATAAGAAATAAGAAAGAACAAAATACAGATTTTACGTGGTTCAGCAATTTGTCTACGTCCACGAAGCTGTAGGAATTTCACTATTGAGAGAGTTGAATACAGAGAGCGGCTGTACAATCCATCATTAACCCTAATCACCAAAACAATGGATTTTATATGTCCTACGCACTGACCTATATAACGGGCTCAAAATTTTCCTCAGGGGCGTTGCCCCCGAACCCCCCACGAGGTTTGTCCATAAGCACTACAGCTTGGACCTATCAGCCCAAGCTTTTGCTCCATGAACTAAGTTTCAGAAAATTTTTCATTAAAAAATCACACAACATTACTTCGGGTCGGGTCATCATCCAAATCACATATACAAAAAATTAACATTTGGTGAAGGATTTTTAGATTAACAAGATGAGACTGAGGTTATATAGTTTGAAAGCATCCATAATTAACAACAACATATAAAAGATGATATACATCCTAAATCTTAGCACAGGTTCGTCGTGTTACGTGCACGTTTTGGGGAGATTTATGAAGTAAAAGAAAAATAGAGTTGTGGAGAATGACCCATTATGAGGAAGATGAAAACCATCGATAGTTCATTTCGAGAGGAACCGGTCCTCCACAGTCTTCACTGAAAAGTTAATCATAATTATTAGATATTTTTTCATTAATCGTAAGGTCTTTTAAATATAAAGAAATAAGAATTTAAGATAACTACTAAACTCAATACCCATATAATTAAATAGGAAAGCCATTAAAACTATAGTAATGTTATGC